GGTGAAGCCGAACATGACCTAGGGGCACTCCTGTGCTCTGCTGCACACTAGCTCATGTGCCAATACCGTAGCAGTGGCATCACCCCTGTGTCAGGCTTGTCATTCAAGCCATCCCAAAAGCACCTTGGGGAATGTCCTGAGCCCGTGCCAGGCCTTGCCTCGTGTGCCTAATGGCCTCTTGCGCAGCAAGGGGACAGTGCCATTCTGTATCTTGACGGAGGCACTAGGGCAGCACAGGGTGGATGATAGAATCCGTTCCTGAAACTGACAAGACCTCCAGGCAATGAATCTTGCATCTGTCCTGCTGGAACCTTCCTCCTCTATGGGATCTTGGGGTGCTAAACTGCACCCCATTCCTATTTCAGCAGAGGGATTTGGGTCCGGAAGGGTAGTAGGCTGCAAGTTTAAGTAAACCCAAGGTAAAATTTCGGGGGGTTTTTTTGGGGGGAGGGGGACTCACATTTGTATGCTTTTCTCTCTAATGTCTGTTGAAGGACACACAGAGACTCAGGGATCCATCGGAGCCCAGTCTGTAGCTTCATCCTTGAAGAGGGGCTAATATTGCATTAGTAGCAGAGGTGGGAGAAGAGTGCTTATCTATATTAAGAAGTGGGCGATGGTGGGGGAGAAATAATTGGCAACGCGCCAGCAACATGTGTAGACTTTTCCCACCTCTCCGCCAGACTCCTTGTTTCTCTCTCAGTCTCAGGAGGGTGTTTCAAGTGCAAGGCTGATATTTCTTTTTATAGCCGAGGTAATTAAATCATTTCATTAACCACAGGCAGAAGCCAACGAGCTCTCCAACACTCAGTTGCGCTGGGCCCCCGGAGCACGCTCTGTGCGCTGGGATCTTGTCGCAGGTTTTGATGGGAACAGCTGGTTAGCAAGAGGGATGTCAGCATTCAATGATTTCCTTGAATCTCAGAAGGACAGAAACACAAAATGAGGGTACTGAGGCAGACAACCTTCACGACTAACCATTTCTATTGGGACTTAAGCTTTTATGATATCCGAGAACACTTCTGTCAGAGAGGCTGATGGAGCCCGCTGTGTCCATTGAAAGGCCAAGGCTGCAAATCTGTGTTCATTTACATAGGAATAAGCCCTAATAGGCTCTGTGTGCCTTAAAATCTGAATAACTGTGCTAAGGATTCAGGAGCCCAGGCGTGTATGCAGGGGGGGGGGATACATCCTTAGCGATTTCCATTTTAACAATCCCCCATGCCCTTTCTTTAAAGTAGCAGCTGAAAGGTGGTCATGAAGCCTCTGAACATGGGCAGAGTAATTGTACTCTGCACTGCCACATGGACCCAGAACCAAGACCCTTCCTTTCCACAGCAGATAACAGAGCTTGCTTGTAGACCAAATCTGTGGAACTCTAAAGGTTAAGCACTGTCACCCACCTTCCCTGGCAGCATTCAAAGAGCATGCCGCAAAATTTATGCTTAATTTACTTATTGTCCACCTTTCTTGTTGAGTCTTGTAACACTGGTTAAGGATTTATTGATTTAATTACCAATAATTTGATTTAAGGTTTCATGGGCCTATACTTTCATTTTTCATAAGTTTTAATATTAAGAATGCATTAGAGTTCACTAAGCTTTTTCTGTAGGTCAGAGGGTGCCTTAAGCTGATGCTATCAGACAATAAGTGAATATCTTTTCTTTATCAAGGTTTTTGGCTGGAAGAGCTGTTTCAGCTTTCTGGCTGTCTTAGTAGGTCTTGAACAGCAAACCACCTCTGAATGGCTCTTGCCTTGAAAACTCCATGGGGAATTGACAGCACCTTCCATTACCACTGTCCTCTTCCCATGCTAATCTTACACCTTTCCCTGGAAAATGTTTTCCTTCCAGCTGTACCAGTTTTCAGTAAAGGCACATTTAGTTTTCACACAAAGTTCCCCTGGTCACAAAGAAACACAAGAATGATCAACAGAGAAGTTATATATTCTTTCCTTCTCAAAAGCCTGGGGTTTCCTAGTACTTCCTTTGTAGCTTTGGAATAAGGCTGGGGCAACAAAGTGGTGTTATAGGGCGGATGTACGTGCAAAATCTCTTGCCAAATACAGAATCGATTACCACAGATTGGAGGCGGAAAGGGAGAGGCGGCGCCAGAGAGAACAGCTGATGAGCCAAAGGGGAAGTGGAGAAGAGATATGGGGCTCCTTCCCACGATTGCCCATAAACCAGGAGGTGGGTCTGTTGGCTGGGAGGGGAAGGTTGTGAGGCTTGACTGCTCAGACAGGGGATGCTTCAGCGGAGCTTTGTGTTTGCTTGGGAGGGCATTTTTGCCTGGCTTAATAGAGTTTTTGCCTTTCTGAGTGGGCAATGGAAGTGCAACTGCAGCGTTTGCAGTCTGCCCCATATCTCAGCGACGTTAATCAATGATGCATTGCAGACCAAAAGGTGTTCTTCATGTCACTTGTGTGAACATCCCCAGCTGAAATGAGGCTTGCCATCAAATTAAAAGATTCTCTTGATCGCCTGTCTTTTTGAACAGTTCAACACAAATTGCATTTTCATATTATCAAGACTGCCCCCCTAACTGAGGGGCCTTTTTCTGATATTGAAGGAAGCATGAGATGATTTCCCTGTTTATTAAAATAATGCTTGCTTCTACTAAGGGTTAGAAGGAAAAGTCACTGAAAATGTTTTCTTTTTTAATCTTAGTTACAGAACGACACCAGAACCAACGACACATTGAAAATGAACAAGTGTGCATTGTACATTTCGGTCCTTCCAATTAAAAAGTAATTGGCTAAAGTGTTGATTGATTGATCAATTAAAACTGTTGGTCTCATTGGGTGCTTAGCCTGATGCTTTTGGGGTGTTGACAGTAGCAAGGACAGTAGCATACAGCCATGCTGCTTAAACATCTTGGCAACCCCCCCTCCCCCCTGTGAGTACATTTTAGGTTGTGCGTGTGTGCTTTAATGAGCTGTCTCATCTCCTGGACAACACATAGCCTGACTTTGTGCCGCCTCAGTCTAGCACTCCAAGCAGGGGTTTTACACCCCTTTGAACACAATGGATTTCTCACACTCAGCTACAAATCAAAGCAGGTGTGCAACAACAGTCTGGCATATGGACAAGTGACAACTTGGTTGCATGACTGAACTGTCACGGGCGAATGGCTGGAGACTTCTCGCTGCCCACTCAAGATTTTCTAAGGGACAATAGGTGGGGCCTGGGGAGAGTTGCCAGTTCCTGGAGACTGGGGGGGTGGGCAGAATTGGGTGGGGGGAAGGAGCTGGGGGGGTATGTGATGCCACAGAGTCCAGCCTCTGGAGCTGCTGTTTCCTTCAGGGGGGGCTGATCTCTGTAGTTTGGAGGTCAACTGTAATTCTAGGGGGACTCCAGATTCCACCTGGAGGCTGGCAACCTGCTCGCGGGTCTCTTCCAGCAGAGGGCTTCTGATGCGAGTGTGTAGTCAGGATCACTTAAAACAGACTACTTAGTTGTCCCTCCCCCTTGTAAGAGTTCCTCACTATCCATTTGAGGTTACTCTGACTGACAGCCGCTCTCCAGGGCCTTAGGCAGAGGTCTTTCCTATCATCTGCTGTATGATCTCGCCCCCCCCCCTTCCTGGAGATGCGCCTTCTGCATGCAAAGCCGGTGCTCAGTCTGCCCCCACAGCCCGACCGTGCTAAACACGCTCGACCAAGCAAAACTGAAGTCCGCCCGCCTTTGATCTGGCATAACTTTCTTCCCCCAGCGGAATTGGTGAGTTTCTGTGTAAGACGGAGAGGAGGAGAGGAGACGAGAAAGCCGCGTTCTGGCACAGAAGTCCGAAAGGCACGATCTCTGCATCCGTGCAAAGGGAGAAGGATGCGTGGGTAGGCGCGGGGGGGGGGGGCGAACAAAAAACTTCTCCCGCGCCTGACCTCTCCGACTAGGCAGCCGGTCGGTCTCTCTGCCGCAGCTTTGGGTCCTAAAGCCGAGCCGACCGCGCCGAGGAAAGCGCCGGTGGCCCCCGCGGAGCCCTGTCCGAGGTGCTGAAGGGCCGCTCCGGCAGGGCAGCCGAAAGGTCTTGGCGGGAGCGCAGCAGCCCCGTGCAATGCGCTGGCCTCCCGGGCGCCGGAGGCAGAGAGTCCGCAGCGGTCTCCTCCGCTGCGCTCGGGACGGGCTTAGGTAACTGCGGGGAGGCGGGACTCGGGGGGGAGCGAGACCTGCTACTAGCGCGGCCGTCTGCCGGGAACTTGGGCGGCCGGTACGGTGAGGGGAGCGCCTGGCAGGATCCCGCGTCCCTGAAGCAGGCGGCGGCGGCGGCGGCGGCGGGGATGCTGGGGACGGCTATGCCCGGGAGGATGCAGAAGCGCGGGGCCATCGCGGAGCGTTTTCGGGAAGCCGGAGAGGCTCTGCAGACCCAGACGGAGTCCTCCTGTGTTGTAGCAAGAATCCGGAGCAAGAGCTGGCAGAGGGGCGCTGGAAACGTCCGGTGACCGCATCGCTCCCGCTCTCTCTCCTTCCCCCTCACCCCCCACCCCAATCCCTCCGCCCGTCCGGTGTTTGGCAAGTTCTCCCCCCGCCTTCCCTCTCTCCTTCCCGCGGGCACGGAAAAGGACGAGCGGGAGGCGAGCGCACCCGGCCTTCCGATCGGTTTCATTCGGCTCCGTTGGAGGGGTGGGAGCGAGGCAGAGCCCCTGGCCGAGCCCAGCCAGCGCCCCTCCACTTTAAATGGGATTTCTTTTATGGCGGCCGCGCACCAGCTGCTTCCACTCCCGGGACAGCGCCTGGACCGGCGCAAACGGGACTCCGCTGCTCCTTTCGGGAGTTTTCTTCGCCGGACGAGGCGTCGCGGCGAACGAGGGCGGGATCTGCTTCAGCTGCCCGAGAGGGTACCCTTAGAACCGGGCAGCGTGTAGAGAACTCGGGCCGGGAAAGTAGCCAGTCCAGCCTTCCGGGACGCTCCCATGATGTAACCCCTCTCCTTCCCCCTCCACCCGCCACTTGGTGGAGGGGACGCGGCCGGGGAGCTGTCCGAGGTCCTGCAGGCGTACCATGGTGGAGACCTTGACCGTGGCTGTCTTGGGGGCCCCGAGAGTGGGCAAAACGGCCATCATCCGCCAGTTCCTCTACCACGACTTCACAGAGGACTACAGACCAACGGAATGCCGCTACACCTACAGGCCGTCGGTCATTTTCAACGGGAACATGTATGACATGAAGGTCATGGATGTGCCCTATTTAACGGCCTTCCCTGCAAACAGCGCTCAGGTGAGTGTTCTGCCTCTCCCCCCCACCCCCCAGCTCATGGTGAGCATGTGGAAGGATGCGCATAGCGTAGGGGGAAGTGACTGAGTGTGAGGTGCGTGTCTACTCCACCTCAAACTTATGAACGCCGTCAGGTTATTAATAAAAAGCAGATCATTTGAAACTATGTCACCAAACTGACTCTAGGTTCCTTAAAGTATTTTTAATTAGACCAACTTCCAATGGATCGAACTTCTAATCTGCAGGCTTTTGAGTCACACAGAACCCGTCATTAGAGATGGTGGAAAGAGTTCTGTGTAACTTGAAGCTTGGATGCCTTTCTGTCAATGTAAACTGACCTCCCAATGAAGGGCGTTTCCTTACCTGCTTCATCTTTCCAGCAACCACAATGACAAAAGATGCTAATTTTTTTTAAGTCTCCCACTAATCCCTTTTCTTCCTTTCAAGTCCATCCACTTAAATCAAACCACTGGCATTTTAAGCTGATTTAAACCCATAGTCACACTGGCTGGACCATCAGCGAAGTGAATGGGATTGAATAACCTTCAGCCCTTCCCGCTTTCATCTCAGCTGAGTTGTGCCTTGGGCTGCTTGGAGAAGCATTTTCGCCACAAAATGTATTTAAATCTAGTTCTAAAAGATCATCTTAACTTCTAGCATTTAAATGCCTGTTTGAGATGCTGATGGGGAAGAGTACATTTTCGCAAACAAGAAACAATCTCTTTAGCTTGCTTTTGTGCCAGACTACTTGTTCACCCCAGTTCATTTGTACTGATAGCCTGCCCTAGACCAACGGCTTGGGGTGGGTCATGGGAATACGCAAACGTCAAAGGAGAGAGGGGAGGGAGGGAGAGGGGGGGGAGTCCTTCTTCTTCAACATTCTTCCTGCTTCAGGCCCTTCCATCTTTTCAGCCAACTTAGACCTCCAACCTTTGACTGGTTGAGTTGACATTCAGGACTGTTAGAAAGGAAAGTTTCCCTTACCTTCATACACACTGTAAATAACATATGGGATTCAGTGTCATGCAATACGATGGCATCTATACAGCTAGTTTTTTAAAAAAATGGAGGATAACTCAACAATTATTGACTATAGTAGCTAAATGTTTGGGGTGATATTGGGAAAAAAGCATTTGATCCAGCACCTGATCCAAGATTCTTGCTGTTCCACAGACAAATTACTTGGTGCATTTGATGGATCTAACTATGTCACTTTGCCGCATGGTAGGATTTCTTCTGATCCAGTGAGTAAAGGGCAGCTTCTGATGTACTACAAAAGTTTCATCTACAGGAAGGAGAATCAGGAACCAGCAGATTATAGAATCAGTCAAAGATTCCCTAACTTCTAACTAGTTGGAGAAGAACTTTAGTGCAGAACTTTAGGAGGGGGGCAGTGTTTGAGAGCTCAGTTCTCCTTACCAGGCACTGGACCTGCCTGGTGCTGCTGTAACTCAAACCAGAACTATAGCCAAGGGTATGTATGTGCTATGTCTTCAGTGGATTTTAGGGAAAGGGCAGAATAGCACCAGGTTCAGGACTCCTCTTCACTTTTCCTAAAGTGGCAACTTTCTAGTCCTTTATGAGTTACTTACAAAGGCAAGCTTGAAAGCATTGGGGCGATGCCTGCTGAGAGCTCAGAAGCCAGAGATTTCCAGGGGTTGCAAAGAGGGAACCAGTGTGCCGTTCATCTCTCCTCCTGACCTCCGAACTGGCAGAACCAGACTCAATTTATGCAAAATAGAAACAATTACTGTCAGCAAAACTCAGCTACCCATAAAAAGACAGCGCATTTTAGCTCAGTTCCTCCATTCTGGCAATCCCCCCCCCCCAGCGCACATGCTGTTTCTCAGAGCTGCCCATGTGTCCGTTCTGGGCTTTAACATTCCTTAAATAGTAAGGCAAAGTGAGAAATTATGATACCTGCTGCGATGCCACAGCCAGAAGAAACCCACTACAGACGGTTCCCCCACCCCACTCACTCTTTCACTGTCCTCCCTCTCTTCCACCCGCCCTCTGCTTCTTCAGATCTGTTAGTCTCCCCTCTCCCTCTGCGTCTCATTCCCCTGCTTGGAGCTGGGCAATCACAAAGGGCCAGAAAGCCTTTTTTCTGACTCCCACCTTAGTCAAAGTGAAATCTTTTTTTCTTATATAAGTACCCGAGGGTACACTTTTATTATTTTTTCCATTATATACTACAGACATACAAACATACGTACAAACAACCCCCATCTAGCCCCCATAACATATAACAAGAGACTTTTTCATTTCTTCTGTTTGATTTCTAAATTCATTATCTATTTTACTCCACTAAGCTTACCTTTTCTGCGTTCTCAAATTACTACATTTATTTATCAGTTGCATTTACATTATACCAATCGTAGAATCTCTTCCAAGTTTTTTGAAAAGTCCATTCTGTACCGGCTCTCATCTCAAGTGTCAGTTTGTCATTTTCCGCCATTTCAAATATTTTGTTCACGTACTGTTGTTTCGTGGGTATTTCCACTGTTTCCCAATATTTGGCATATACTATTCTTGCAGCTGTCGACATATGAACTATCAAATACCTATCTGCTTTATCAAAGTCTTTCGGAAATATATTCAATAACAGTATCTCTGGAGTAAACGGGATATTAGTTCTTATTATTTTTTCCATTATCTCATGAATCCATCTCCAGTACCTCTTTATAACATCACATAACCACCACATGTGATAAAAAGAGCCAGTCTTATTTTTACATTTCCAACATTTGTCTGAGCAATTAACATTTTGTTTAGCTAATCTATCTGGTGTAAGTCAAAGTGAAATCTTGGAGGACAGCCTGCCTCCCTGAGGTCATCGTTATGTCTAAAAACCCTTCTAACAAGTACAGAACGCTCAAGATTCATTGAGGCCTCTTTGGCAGGGTTAGACATTGTTACGGGCAAGGAATGAAGTGTCCAGTTGTGCCATAAGAGAATCTGACTCCCTTTCAAACCTGCCCTGTGCCACAGTAACTCTCACAAATGGAATGCTGCTAAAAAAAAAAAAACCTACTTGTTCTTGCAGTTGGAATCCTGACCCCACTTTCTTCTAGTGCTGATTGTGAAGTCTCAGGACACACTAATCGAGTGCTGTCTGGGCAGAATTTGGGAAGAGCTCATGTTGCAGAGGGGCACATCCACTGATATACCAGCCATCCACCCTAAGGAGTTCTGCAAGAACACTTCCCTTCGGAGCTGGTCTTGCAGGTGGCTCTATAAGAGCAACCTTTAAAAAAATTTCCTGCTTGTGTTACTGTTGAGTCCTGCAGCAAAGAACTTGGTGCTTAGCAGTTCAGCATAATGGACAGAGTATTGGATAAGGACCTGAGAGAGCTGGGTTCAAATCCTCACTCTGCTACAGGGCTGGCTGGGTAACCTGAGGCCAGTCACCCTCTCTCAGCCCCACCTACCTCACAGGGTTGTTGTGAGGCTATCAAGGGGAATGGGAGAACCACGTATGCTGTCCTGAGCTCCTTGCAGAAAGGGCACTAGCTAGATACATTTTTTTTTTGCCACCAAGTCACATCTGACTTATGGTGACCCTGTAGGGTTGTCAAGAGACCTTCAGAGATGGTTTGCCATTGCCTTCCTCTGCTTAGGGACCCTGTACTCCCTTGGTGGTCTCCCATCTAAATACTGACCGGGTCAGGGCAGACACATGTAGGACTGTTTTAAGATTAATCTTAGAGGTTTAAAAGTCACTAATGGCACACAAGATTCTGGAGAGGGCAACTACCTGACCACTACAGCCACAGGGGAGTGTTATAGGTATGCTAAGACACGCCTTCTACTTTTGTGGCCTCATAGGCCTGGCTAGCAAGCACAGGGACTGAATGTGTGCCCTTGGATGCACCCCAGGATCCCCCACAATGCACCAAGGTTCCTCTGCAGACAAAGGGCTCCTTGAAGGGAGAAAGTTTCGAAAGGCAACAATGCTCCTCAAACTACACCCTTCTGGTGTAACGCTGCTGCACTAGTAAGGATGGGAGCCGGCTGCAATGAAGCAGGTGGGGAAGGCAATCCATCTCGCGGGCTGCGGCACAGGGGACCACTTTTGTTAATGCACTCCGACAACGTCCTCCGTATGGTGAGATGGGTCTGTAATTGGCTCTAGAGGAGCAGCTGGCTGCTTGAGAGCCGAGAGGCCTCTCTGGGAAGCCGGAGCAAAACTGGAGGTGTGAATTAGATTCCAAGCGGATGGCCAGCAGCTCAGAGAGGAAACGGTGGCTTCTGCACCTGCCCGGCAGAGGCCAGGAGCTGAGCTCCCTGCAGTCTGAGCCAAAGGTGTGTGGGGGGAGGCCTCTTGGGGAGGGCTTGCTTGGTTTGTCCAGAAGCCCTGTGTTCTGAACGCCGCAAGCGCTGAGCTGAATGCCAAGCCACAAGTCAGCCCTAGATGCCTGTGGGCATATGCAGGGTGCTTTTTCTTTATGCCAAAGAATCTGTAACCAATGCCCATTAGGCTGCAGGTGATTTTTGTGCCTGAACATGCTCCATTTCTGAGACTTGAGCCTATGTGGGATCTGCCGTCTAACTTAAAGGGCAGTAATATATTGGGAGAAACAGCGGGGGGGGGGGGAAGGCAAACTGGCAGCAGAGGTATGAGCAGTGTTCCCTCTAAGATGAGTTAGTGTGAGCTAGCTCACAGTTTTTTAGCTTCCAGCTCACACATTTTTGCCTTAGCTCAGGAAGGATGGCTCCAGAGCAAACTAATTTATGCAGCAGCCAAATCGCTCACTCACAACTTTAATGCCAGTGGCTCACAAAGTAGAATTTTTGCTCACAAGACTCCACAGCTTAGAGGGAGCACGAGGATATACCTTTACTAAGAAATGCATTGTTTCCCTGTATGAAAACTGCTGTGTTTTTCTCCTGGGAAACCCTTCCTAATAAAGGCCCTGGTTTCTCTTTTACGTGCAAGCCAAAGTTCTTGTGTGAAACATGCCTTATAAAGCCACACATCTGGGCATTTGTCCAAAGCAATA